AGCATTCTTTATTATTGGAGAAAATCCTTCAGATTGAGGTGAGAGAAGAGAAGGTGAATACCATATTTCAATCCAGGCTTTTCCCTTAAGTAGCAAGTATTTTTTTCCAGGTTTGCCAGTTCCCTTTTCTTAATTTGGTTCACTATTCTACTTCAGTGAATGTTTGGGAAGACCTTTGTTTCACAAGTAACATCCATTTACCATGTGTTTAAAAACAAACTGATTTCTATTTTATCTCCACCTCCTACTTCTAGGATGTTTGCATCAGTGTCACCATTCTAAATCACATTTCATTCTACTGGCCACATCAGTTCAGGGTTTATATATGTATAAATGTATTCACCTTTACATTTCCCATAATTACAGCAGCATGGTGTAACATAGACCTTCTCTTACATGTGTTTCATCCCTGGGTTTAAAGCTTCAGAATCCTTTGACCTATTAGGCATAGCGCTATTATAATAACACTGCTATTATAACCTCATAGGCACATTGTATCCTGGACTGCCCAGGGTGTTCTTTGTATACGTCTGAATGCAGATTTGGATTTCAGCCTAAACTTGAAAGATTCATCACAGGTTTGATAGATGATCAGAGAAACTTGTACTGATAGTATTGAGTTGTAAGCGCTCACAAGACTATCTAGAAGATCCAAGAGCGATTACTGAGATAATGTATATTGGATGTCCATTAATAGACTCAACATGGGACATAAATGCATATGTTTCCAGTATTGATTTTCTTCCAAATTAAAGTAATCTTTAAGCTGTCAGAGGAAAAGTGATATCCTTAATGGAAAAGTTGGCAAATAAATGGTTTTCTTATCTATCGAACCTGACTCCTGAATATCTATTCTTTAACTTTGTTTTGCAAACTACTTTACCTTTTACATTGTAAGATTGGTTGAAGTTTAGCTTTTTTAAACAGTAGCAACTATGCATTTCTTGTATACTGTGTAGTGATAAACTGAGGACTTTTTATTACACAGTTTTGTTTTTAAATGTAATTATTTTTCCTTTTTTTTTCCTCCTCACTCGCTTTTTCTTCTGAAAGACATTATTCAAAGTTGGTCATAAAAGGGAACATTATATAAAATTAGACAGCAACTCTAAAAGACTTGTAGCTGTATTATAGTTCCAATTGCCTATTTTTCAATGTTTTATAGCTTGGCTATAAAACTTGACAAGATATTTAACATTAAAATGTCTACTGCAAATGTTCAATAATTGCCTTTCATAAAACTCTTAGCATGCCCACTGCTAAGACACTTTTCACAAATTGCCTAATTAATTTCCTCTGCATATATGTTGCAGCAACTCCCTCAAAGCTATCACAGTCTATTAGCTGAACAATGTCAATTTAAAATACTGCTTAAGTAAATGTTTAATGTGTAGTAGGCTGCAGTGACTCAGGCTAAATTAGTATTTGTGAGGGGATTTAATTATATTGAGTAAAGAAATGCATTTAATTTTGAAGTAAAGGAGCAAACTGATAAGAGTTAGGAAATTTGAACACTGGTGTCAACTCCTTTGCTGTTGTCTGTCTGTCTTGCTAATAAAGGGTGTAAGTTACAACTGGAATTGTGCCAATACTAATGTAAGGTTAAATGACCATGTACAAACAGTCACCTTAATTAGCCCATCTGCTCCCATATGTCTTCAGATTTATTCAATCTGGGCAAAAGTCTGCCCTCAACTATAAACACATAACTCCCAGTGAAGTCATCTGAGGACAAGATTTTATTGCTTTTACACCATAGCAGCAGTCCCATTAAGGCACATGTGTGGATAGACTTTCTGCGCAGAGCCAAGTGACCATACCTCATTAGCAGCAGTTCTTTTATACTTCCCCCTCCTCTGAGTTACAACTGCACTGTTCACCCACAAGGTAACAGTGGTTGCACTCTGGAGAGGAGACAGTAGCACTATATATACACATCCAGCCAGCCATCTGTAGATACATGTTTACATCAGTAAAGATTTGGCCTGTGCTTAGACCCCATTCTGGACCCCACATTGCAATGGCATTGGTGTATTGTGTAAATGGTTACCATGTTTACCCAAATCCAAGACAACTCTGAATTTAAAATGAGCCCCCCCACCCCCAATAATTCTGTTCTATACATGGAAAAATTATAAATTTGTTATAATTTTCCATGTTTATAATCTAATTATTGGAAGGTCATCTTAAATTTGTCCTCCCTACCACTGCAGTGGGGAAAGCAGTGATGGGGGGCAGGTGCTGCAGGAGGCAGTGGCGGAGTCAAGCATCTAGACCCCTGCCCCTTGACCTCCCCCTCACACATTGCTCTCTGCTGCCTGTCCCCTCCACCACTTGCCCCCTACATGTCTGCACCCCTGGAGCATGCCCTCCTGCTGGTGCCTTCCCCCTGACTGCACCCCCCTGCTGCCTGCCTGTTCTTGCTGTCCCCGCTCCACCACCTCTGTCCAACCTACAGCCTGTCCCCACCACAATGTCTCCTCCTGTCCTTCCTGCTGCTTACACTTTCTCTGGCTCCAGCAGGCTCCTACCCCAAACTCACTCTACCCTGGGGCACAGAGAACATGCTTGCTCTGGCCCCAGCCTGGCCTGGTAGCAGCAGTTCCTATTTCAAAGCATAGTATGGGGGAGGGATGAAAGATGGAGAGTTGAGGTCTGCACCGATCATAGCTTTCTTTTAGGCATAGGCTACTTCTGAATGCCAGAAGAGTGGTTGTTATGATATTTTAGACTGACTTTCTGCATTATACATGGTCAGTTCTTGACTATGTTAACATAATTATAGAATCATTGAAAGTAAATATGAAAATTCCATTGTATAACTCAAAGCCATTTTATAGTTAGACTTTTATTATTTTTAAGGAAAAGAAAAAACAAGGGGATCTGCAGAATTTATTTAATACATTTTAATCCAAGAACTTTTATGAATTAAGTCCATGGTTAAGCAGTTTAGTTTAAATATTTTTTAAAACCCCCCAAAACCCCCTACTAGGCCATTGAATCCACCTGCAAGAGAAAAGGCATTTCAATTTCAATTGTTATGCTGGACAAAGAAATACATATTCATTCTGAATTTTTAAATAGCATTATATTTCTAAAGAGTACTAGAAATAGTTGCTTATATTTCTAAACATCTGGTACATATTTAGTAGATACAGTTGATTCTCAAATTCAATCTGTATTTATCTTGTTAATAATAATAGCCAAATTGTCTTAGATCCATGTGCATAGTAAAGATTCTGCAGACCAGATCAAGGCTGTGAGTCATAGATTGCCAATCCCTGACATAAGGGGTTTAGTATGCTAGGTTAAAAGGTATGTAGTAGATGTAGGAGTACTGCTGTCCATGCTTGAAGAAATCTATGTGTGTACTAATCAGTCTTCTCAGTATTGTCCCTCTCTTTCAGTTGGAGATACTAAGACCAACATTTTTAAAAATGGGTGCCTAAAGTAAGCAATCAAATCCTTATCTAAGACCCTACCAAAAATGATCTTTTTTTCTTCTCTTTTTCTGTCTTTAAAGGACCAAGCTGTGTATGTTCATCAGCTCTGACAAAAAGGGCACTTTTAGTTAGGTGCCTAAATATGAATTTTCCACAAATGTACTTTGTCATTGATGTTACTAAAGCAGTGCAATGAGGAAGTGGCAGATTGGGGATCAAACTCAGGAGTTCCTAGATCACAGGCCTTGGGCAACACTTTCAAGCAAAAGTGTCATAATAAAAATTAAAAGATCAAGGGAATCTATGGCAATGTAGTTGTGTTGACTGAAAATAGTGGGCTAAGAGTTTGTAATGTGTTTCTTAATTAGAGATACTGGCATAGTGTGAAAAGAAAAGAAAAGCCTCAAGTGCTTTTACAATTTAAATGGAACCCACTACAGAAATCCTTGTGGATCCTGGACTGTTGGCATTAGAATCAGACAGACACGGTGCAGACTGTTTGAAAGGAACTCTGCTTCTTCTCATTCTTTCTCCCTCACTATGAGACTCAGTACCGCTAAGCTTGCGACCCAGCACCCTGCCATGGGCTGCCTGTCTTCACCTCCTGGAGCATCCAAGCTGCTTGCTCTTACCCATGCTGCTCATCCACTGTCCTGCTGTAGGACAGCAGCAGTGAGGGTAAGCACAGGCACAACAGAGCAGCAGGGAGGACTGCAGAGAGAGGTGCTGCAGAAGGGAAGGAGCAGCATGGCACAGCTATGTACTACCTAATTGCCCCGTACTGTCCTAGGCCAGGTTGAACCTTTGCAGGCTGGATCCATCCCGCGGGCCATAGGTTGCCAATCTTTACTCTAAGATGCTTCCCTCTCCCTTCCCTGACAGACTTTTCTCACTCTGATGACACCCTTCTGTCCCCTCGCATAAAATATATGGACCCAGCAGAGTTTGGTAGCTTAGGGTGACGTGGGTAAATACTCTAAGGAGGGCAGATCATAAGATTAGACTTTGTTAAGGATGTAAATTAATTGTTAATGCTTTATGCATTAGTATAAAACACATCAGAATTTGTCCCTCATTTCATGGAATCCCATTATTGACCTGATCTCAGTCCTTCTCCTTCAGCTTTTTTCCTCTGAATCACATTAAATTTCAAGTCATAGAATAAAGACCCAAAGTTTATTTTTTCAAAGGAAAAAAAAGGAGAGCTGGTGAAAACATCCCTGACAGCTGTACTCTGTGGCTCAGTAAATTTAAGCTTTTTACTTGTTCCTTTCAAGGATGTGTTTAGTCTAGATTCCCTTGATTTATATATCTTTTTTGGCTGGGTTGTATTTTTTTATGCAGATTTCCACTGATTTAATTCAAGTTCATGCTTGCCTAGGATGAGACAGAAGAATGTGAGTGAATTTAATCCTTGAAAAGGTTTCTTTTGCAAACCATCATTTAAAGAATTGGTTAGCTTTTAATGCCATCTCCCATTATGTTTTACAAAAAACATTCTGAAATAGGTGGAACTTGGAACTGTGTTGTGAATTCATCTCTATTTTCCACTTACAGAAGTGGCAGTGCATTGAAGATACATCTGGCAAACTTCGAATTCACAAGTGTAAAGGATCTAGTGATATGCTCGCCATCAGGAAGAGAACACGAAGCATACACTCCAGGGGATACAGCAGTAAAGACAAAGACTGCAACTGTGAAGATACTGATTACCGAGCCAGCAGGACCCAGAGGAAAAATCAAAGACAGTTCATGAGAAACCCTAATACACAAAGTAGGTGATATCAGGTAGCAGGAGTGAAGTTAACTGAGAAATGCTGTAGCAGCAAGCAATTATATATGTAACAAATACACCTGTAGTCTACATTTGAATAATTGCTTCTTTGAGGAGTCGGAACTTACTTGGCTGATACCACAGTAAGAAAACTATTTAAGCCAATTGTTGTAACGATGATGTTTTGGTGCCACCTATTGTGCTGGTTGAATATAAAACATAAGAGTAACATAAAATCAGTACAACTATTATTTCATCAATACTACATTGGTTAAAATGTTGTTCTTTGAAATTCACTAGGTGTTTCAAAAAATCAGACATTAAAAAATGTTGTCAAAAGTTATATCTTAATAACCTGAGCATTTTATCAAAACTAACATAATGTGTTTGTAGTTTAATGAGTTAGAAGCTAGTGTACTCTGGTGGACTGCACTGTAAAATGAAGCTGCTATGAGATTAAATATACTACTATTCAACTGACATTAGACTTAAAAAAAATTTCAAATGGCTGAGTACATAAGGTTGGACCCAGAGAGTATTAGTCGATGGAAGTGAATCATTATGGTGCTCCATGACTAGTGGTGTCCCCCAAGGCTCCGTCCTCGGACCGGTTCTCTTTAGTGTCTTTATCAACAATGTGGACACTGGTGTCAGAAGTGGACTGGCCAAGTTCGCCAATGACACTAAACTTTGGGGTAGAGCATCCACACCTGAGTATAGGATGGTGATCCGGGCTGATTTGGATAGGCTTAGAAAGTGGGCAGATATAAACCCGATGGTGTTCAATACTGAAAAATGCAAGGTACTCCACTGGGGGGGACCCACAGCAAGCTTATAGGTTCGGCAGTGCTATGCTCGCTAGCACCACAGCTGAAAGAGACTTGGGGGTCATGACTGACCACAAGATGAACGTGAGCCACCAATGCAATGTCGCAGTCGGTAAAGCAAACAAAACTCTGGCTTGCATCTATAGATGCTTCTCAAGTAAATCTCAGGGTGTCATCCTCCCACTGTACTCGGCCTTGGTGAGGCCGCAGCTGGAGTACTGCATCCAAACCTGGACTCCACAATTCAAGACAGATGTGGAGAGGCTTGAGAGAGTCCAGAGGAGAGCCATGCATATGATCAGAGGGCAAGAGAACAGGCCTTACAATGAGAGGCTGAGAGCTATGGGACTCCTCAGCCTGGAAAAGCGCAGGCTCAGGGGTGACCCGGTGGCAGCCTATAAGTATATAAGGGTTGTGCATCATGATCTGGGGGAATGCCTGTTCACCAGAGCGCCTCAAGGGATGACAAGGTCCAATGGTCACAAACTCCTCCAAGACCATTTTAGGCTGGACATAAGGAAAAACTTCTTTACTGTCCAAGCCGTCAAGGCCTGGAATAGACTCCCTCCAGAGGTGGTGCAGGCACCTACTCTGGACTCTTAAGAAACATTTGGACACTTGCCTTGCTGGGATCCTTTGACCCTAGCTGACTATCTGCCCCTGGGACAGGGGGCTGGACTTGATGATCTTTCGAGGTCCCTTCCATCCCTAATGTCTATGAAATCTATGAAATAACAAAACAAAGTACTAGTTTGGGAAGGGGTCAGGTAGAAGAAGAAACCCTCCAAGTTTCAATTTGTGAAGGTTGTCTTCAACCATCCTCCCCTTGTTGGACTTTGTCAAGCTCAAATTTGGACAGCTCTGCCATTTTCCCAGCCTAGTGGACTTCCTGGATCTACAAGCCATGGAACAAAATTCTCAACAGCCATCATGCCACCACAGTTCCATTAAAAGTTGCAATATTGTTGGTTGTAGGCATAACTAATGAGTTTTGCACCATCAGCAGAGAGCCTGGAGGGAAGAGAGGGGTATCAATCTTACTGTCCCTGGAGCTTCAAAGACCATGGCTGTTCCTGCTGTGGCATGCACTCCACAGGGCTCCCCTCTAAATTGGCACTTGGGGCTAGTGCCCCACTCATCCACCCCTATTTCCACTTCCGCTGTGACAGTCATAGCGTAGATTCAGCTCTGAGCTGCCCCCATATTATGCCCTCCTGCCCACATACTATGTTTTCTCACATACTTTTCCCAAAATCCAGCAGCTGGAAATTGTAGAGCAGAGCAAAAGATGGCACCACGGAAAGGCATGCTTCCTCATCCCACCTCCAGACATCAGTTTGTCTTACAAAACTCTTTTGAATTCCATCCAAGCAAAGAACAATCAGAGGGGCATTATGGTAATCAGACACAGTTCATAGGCAAAGGAAAAATTCAGACTTTTTTTTTCAAACTGCTCTCAGATAACATTGGAATATGTTCCAAACTGTATTTCAGTCACTTGATTAATAAATAATGCAGTAGGAGATTTGGGCCTTGCAGAATCTATTTGACCCTGCAAATCTTTAACCACTCCTTCATTACAAAACACAGGATTGTAAATCAGAGAAATGCATGGAAGCTGGCGTTCTCTTCTGAAAGGCATACATCTTCTTTGAGTCACTGGGATTGGTTTTTTTCTATACGTCAGCAGGCATCCATTGAACTGGTTTAGAAGGAAAATGTGGTTTGAAATAAATTTTAAATGAGGGTCACTGTTTGCACTTCCAGAAGATTCTTGTGCAGAAGGTTCAATGTGGAGTGTCTAAAAAATGAATGGAAAGTTTGGGATGTGATCTGCATTATCTGTCAGTGGATATACTTTCTCACAACTCCCCGAGATGATAATTCTTTTTTCCTATGTTACACTAAGAATTTAGCTGAAAACATAATATTAAGAGTTCCAGGATTTCACATGAAGTCTTATCTATCAGACACAAATATGAAATGTTATAATCTGTTTCCACTTCCCCCTCACTCCCTTAACATGATGGCACTGAATATTTAATGTATATAACAATGATTCCAATACCATTTTAGTTCTGTTCCAAAAGATGTTTGTTTCTTCCGTTTCAAATATATTATTACCTACCTAGTGACATTGTTTCAATTTACATGAGGGGAGTCAATGACATAGCTCATGGAGCCTCATCACCTGGCGTCCAGTGCTGCCTAATGGACGCATATGTGGCATGCCATGGAGCAGCCTGTGAACCACATGCAGCACATGCTAACTCTGGCTTTGGCCCCATCCCTGCATGCTGCAGGGGGCATATGAGGACCAGTCTGATGCATGCCACATATGGCAGGGAGGGCTGATCCAGAGTGCATGCTGCAGGCAGCATGAAGGGCCAGTATCTAGGCCCAATCTATCCCACAGACCAGACCCACAGTACTCGTCCAGCCTGTGGGACCTGATGAGTTTGGTACCTCTTGTTTACAGGAAATAAACTATCCCCTTCTGAAAGGTCTACAGTCTTATTACTGTGTGATTAACTGTATTGTCAGATGTTTATATATTATGTAGACTACCAGATGGTGTGGTATAGCTTGAAAGTGTTATCACCAAGAGTTTGGGATACCTATATTTGATTATGACTGGTAAAATGCTTGAGTTATGCAGGTCATCCAAGTTGAATCCAAATAAAATATGTATACCATTCTCTTCTTTCATTTATTGGTAAAACAAACAACCAAATATATTTAGAGAGTATTTCACATTTTATTTGGATTTTTTTTATTATCTCTCTACCTTTAAAGCAAAGTGACTTAGTTACTTGTAGGATCTGTAAAATAGGATTTATGGTATTTTAAAATTGTAACATTTCTAAGTCTAGAAACTCAGGCCCTTCCAGGCATAGAAATGAGTTCTAGATTCCCTTGAAAATGGGAGAATCTTTTCTAGCCCTGCAAGTTGCAAGTTATAGGAGATCCATTATATGCATGTGCAGGGAAAAGGTGGGGGTCAAATCTTGCCCTTTTAACTTTGAATGGAAAAAAGGTGCCACTAGATCTTAAACAAGCATTCGTTTACCAGTGCACAAGAAACCATGTATGAGGCAAATGCCATGTGGAAATTGTGTCAATAACATGATTTCATGTGGATCTACAAGTGCTGAATATGTCTGAAAACCAGTCCTTAGGTGTCAAAAGTTGGGTAAACAAAATTGTAAAGCACCCAGTCTCAACTCTGACTTGCTGAAGATTATGAAAAAAAAATTTTTTCAGGTCAGAAAAGTGAACTGAGGTATCCCATGTCTGTGCATCAAATCACAAGTTCATTCTCTTTGTCCTGTCTATGAAATTAGTATGTACCCAAGAACTGAGAAGGCCTCAGTGAGGAGGTTGAGGCATGACTACAGGAGTGGCACAGGTGCCTGCCCAGCCTCTCCTACAGTGGCCGGGTCCTGCTCATCAGCAGCTTGGCACAGGTGTGCTATCCTGGCCCTACTAGTGACCCTACCCAAAGGGCTCTAGAAGCTCCACATGGACTTCTGGACCACATTCAGATGAAGTATGTGGCACTAGAGACACGTCTGTGGTTACATACCCAACATTCAGCTGTTCTCAGTGCTGCAAGGGGGAGAGAGGGGGGCACTGACCCCGGGAAATCTTGGGGTCAAAAAACACATGCAAAAAAAACCAAAGCAGAGCACGCAGGGACAGTGCGCTCTACCCAAAACCAGAGCCTGACCTGCCAAAGCCACACTGCAGCTGCCAGCCAGGCTCCAAGCAGCAGGATCACTGCTGCTGCAGCCCCAGGGGGTCCCCAGGACCCCCAGTAAGGCTGCTGGGGTCAGCCCAGTGCTGGCCCCAGCTGCCCCTACCCCACCCGGGGTAACCTGCCATGTACCAGAGTGTGCATGGCACAGATGTTTCCTGAGACAAGTAGCAGTGGCACAAGGTGCCACAAGGTGTGCCACTGCTTTTTGTCCCCGGGGAAACAAACATCCACGCTCATGTGGACATATCCCTGGAGGGCATGGCAGAGAGGTAGTTTCAGTCTCTGGTGATATGGTGTTTTTGTTGCTGACAGGGCGTTTTTGTTGCTGGGGGACCACACACTTTTGCACTTTTACCTTTTTGTTTTTAATATTTTTGTAATAAAGGTTTAAAAAGTCACATCTCAAAGTACTATTACTACTACTATTAATCATTCAGAAGTATATAAGCATGCATATTTTCCTCTCCCATTGCAGAGTACAAACCAAGATTTGTTCACACTCGACAAACTCGATCTTTGTCTGTGGAATTTGAAGGTGAAATATATGACATAAACCTGGAAGAAGAAGAATTACAAGTGCTAAAATCCAGAAGTATTACTAAGCGTCATAATGCTGAAAATAAGGAGGATTTGGAGAACACTGATGGTGCTGGAGCTGGTGGTGAAGAAATGCTAGCTGATGGCATCAATATAGTTAGCCAACCTAGTTCTGTCAGAGTGACACACAAGTATGAATGCTTTATCTATTTTTAAATTCTTATAATTTTTCTTGTGTTTTTTAATATTTTATAGTTTCAGCATGCCAGAATACAAGAATATCATGAAAGAATGATTTATGTTTTATATTTTCTTTTACCAGGTCAAATTACTTACCTATTAAAGTAAGTCTTTAGGGGCAGGGAAAGTCCAGCCCATGGGCCAAATTGGGTCCATGGCAGACTCCATTTCACAGCAGCCCTGCCCATGTTGTTGCAGTCAGTTTCCATGGAAACCCCAGCAGCAGCGGGGCCATGACATTGTGGGGCCAGTGTCTTGACAGTGCTGCTGGGCAGGGAAGTACTCCAGGGCTGGGGCTGGGATCTTGCAGTGATGATAGCATGGTTCATGGCCAGGGCAGAACTGTGATCCACTGCCTACATGCCCCCAGACTACATTGTCACCACTGCAAGATCCCAGCCCCGAACCTGAAGGAGTTCCCTGCCCAGCCATGTGCCCGGCCAGTGCTGCTGGGGCCAATCTCCATGGAAACCCTAGCCTCGCACTGTCATGACCCTGCTGCTGGGGTCTCCATGGAAACCAACCATAGCAACTCAGGCAGGGCACCTGGGGAATGGGGGGTGGCCACTGGCTGGATCCACCGTTTTGTCCATCCCTGCTATAGATTAACTAAATCAGAGGCATATAGCATCAGCTTTCATAAGCAATGGGCTTACTGCTTCTGATTTATAGGCTTACAAAAGCTTATACTATGCATCTCGTTTATAAAGTTCAAATCTACACTACCTTTTATATAAATCTGGTTAAACCTATTTACAATTGGTTTCGCTTGCTTTTTTATAGAAGGCCCAGTTGAGCGTACAATTGAGCAGAACTGAGCTGGAATAGTTTTCCCAACCTAGGAGAGTTTTTCAGATGTCAAAGTTTAATGCCTTTTCTGAATCAGACTACAAAAAAGAAAAACCTTGAATATTTTTTGCAAACTTTGCATCTGAAAATATTTTTGATAGGCTTAATAAAACATTCTAAATCCAATGTTTGTGTTTTAACCTTTTTACTATATTTCATAATAAAAAGTTCATTTCAAACTGGCAATTATTTTTTCTTTGGAAAATGCCAGATAATTTGCACAATCCCCAAACTTTTTATTAACTTAGAAATTGGGAAATTATTAAAACTGACCTTTTCTCACAAACTGTTTCAGTTTGAACAGATCAGTGTTTTCCAACAAACAAAATGTCTCTGTAGAAAATTCCAAACCAGCTCTACTATAGAGAGCTAACCTACTATGGTCAGGGATGGAGCAGTAAGTAATCTCTTCTGTCTCTGCTCTGTATCTGTGTGACTCAAGCAAAAATTAAAAAAAGAAAAGATAGTGGTATCAGATCAGAGCAGGACAGGTGATGGTGTGCCCATAAATTCTCAGTAATGCATAGTTAAGGAAGCTCTGTGTGACAATCAGCATCTGATGAAGTAGGCTGTTACCTGCAAAAACGTGTGCCTCTCTGAGGCTTTATGGTGCCTTCTGAAACAATTAGTAAAACGTACTGTGAGAAGATAATAGCCTGAAGATTTTTCTCTCTCATTCTATCCCTCAGCTTGCTGTTTTTCTTTGCTTAGAGACATTTTCCTGAACAGCTGTACATCAATTAGGCACTTTATTACCCAACTATTTATATTTTTACCACTTATTTGAACTCTTTTTCAGTAACATGATAAATTAAGTGTCATGTAATTCGCAGGCATGTCTCAGTCTTACCTTTTTTGTGCACTTGGAATTGGACTCATGGTACTGTGGCAAGATAAAAAAGGAATCTTCTTCCCTGCAGCTGGTGTCTAAATAGGCCATGGCAAATCTGGCTAACAGAGTATTTAGATATCTGAGGGGGTTATGTTTTGGTTTATTTTTTGACTGAACTGAGTACGTCTGACATTGTAATATTGTTAAATTTCAACACAGCAGGCATAGAGCTCTTGCCTTGAACACGTTTTCTTTGTGCCGGAGTGAAAACAGATGGAAGCAGTTATTTGGACTATTAAACCAACACGAGCCTCGGGGTGTCATTGTTGAATTTGTTTTATTACTTGGTAGAGGACAGAGTACCACTGGAAAACCTTGAGGGAGGGCAGAGTGGGAGGGCCGGAAAAGAGACTGGAAGAAGAATGAAGAGGTGGATGGTCAAAAGGAAAGGTATTGATCTTTGTATTCATTATGTGTTGAATGACTGCTAATACTTATATTCGTAGGTGTTTTATTCTTCCAAATGACACTATCCGCTGTGAGAGGGAATTATACCAATCAGCCAGAGCCTGGAAGGACCACAAGGCCTACATTGACAAGGAGGTTTGAGCTGTTTCCAAATCTATTCTGAATGAAGGCTCTTAACATTTATGTCATCACTGTGTAACTCTGATTATAAATATACTTTGCAGATTGAAGCTCTCCAAGATAAAATTAAAAATTTAAGAGAAGTGCGAGGACACCTGAAAAGAAGGAAACCTGATGACTGTGATTGTAGTAAACAGAGGTAAAAAAAAAATCACCTGCAGCACTGCTTGTGTTATTAATTTAGCAGACTCATTACTTTTTTACAGTGGAAAAGATTTAACCTTGGTATAAATGTTCTTTATTAGCCACTGTAAGCTTAGTGTCCAAAACAGTCCAAAGAGCAAAGTTTGTATTCTGATCCAAAAATTGTCAAAACTGTTGGATCTGGGATTTTATTTAATTTAATTATATATGAAGAAACCAGTATGAATGAAATTAAGACTCAGAGCTGTATTTAACATTGAGTGTCTATGGTTACATATTTGAACCCATCTCTAGCAGTACAATATATACTAATACTGTACTTACTTGCAAATAAAATACGCCTTTTTTCCCCAAAAATAAGCCCTCCAAAATTGGGTTGCTGGTCTTAAGTGAGGAAGCTGATTTTCTTTGATAGAACTTCACTGCATGAAGGCATAGAAGGATAATCCCTGTGATACAAGATTAGATTATTGCCAGCTTCTCTATCTCTGCCAAGACCCGGGAGGGGGCACTCAATGTTAACACTTTCATAGCCACTCTGAAATTGGCACCGGTTTTGGCAGGTTTTAGCAAGGTTTGGCAAGGGTATGGGGGACGTGTAGTAGTGAGGTGGCACCCACCACAAGTTGAGAGAGACTGTGACAGGGTTAACACTAGACTGCACCCCCTCCTGTTTCCAGACAGACAGAGAAGCTGTCAGCCACCCTGTAGCATGGTGTGTTAATGAAAACACTCAGCTCTAGCCATGAATCTGGAAAAAACTTTTTTTCCTTATGTTCATATTTGGGGGGGAGGGGTACTGTGAAAGAGAAAGTACTGTGTGTCGTCATGCAAACACTAGTACTGCTACTATTTCAATAAAACAACATAAAAGATCATTTTCAGCTCAACACTTAATTAAACAGATGGCATACTTCAATTTAGCTTTGAATACAGAAAATAAATTCTGTTTTCCATGACTTCATAAAATGTAACCTTTTTTCATAATGTTGCACATAGCTATTACAACAAAGAGAAAGGGGTGAAGGCTCAGGAGAAACTGAAGAGTCACCTTCATCCATTCAAGTAGGTGTAATGCTTTTCCACTCTAATATTATGTAGCTTTTCAGTAATTGGGGAACGTCAGAAATAAATCAGTCATGAACACCAGCTCCTGGGCAGCAAGAATACTGAAAGATAGCAGTACTGAAAGTTTGGGAGCTGAACCCTCAGAAATTCGGGAAAGTGATTCTGAAATTAAAAATAACAGCAAAATTCCAATGGAATTAATCATTTGAAGGACAGACTGACTGATGCCTCGTAGGGTCCCATTACCCTTAGATACAATACTTAATACAGCATTTATCAAACTTACAGATGAAACCAAAGTGCCATAACTCCCTCTAGTAAATTTTGAGAGAGGTGTTAATTATCTTCCCTCTCATGTAAATGGTTTCCATGATGCAGCCTTTTAAAACCTCAGATAAAAATCATAATTGTTAAATCTCTTTTTAAACAAATAGAAATTATTCTTTGTGAACTACAAATTGCTTTCCTTTTCAACAGAGAAGCAGTACAAGAGGTGGACAGTAAAATTCAGTTATTCAAGGAAAACCGCAGGAGAAAGAAAGAGAGAAAAGGGAAGAAGCGCCAGAAGAAAGGAGATGAATGCAGCCTTCCTGGACTCACATGTTTTACCCATGATAATAACCACTGGCAGACAGCACCATTTTGGAACCGTGAGAACCTTTCTTATTATCTTCACATGTAGACATTAATGAGGGTCATCCTCTCATGTGTGGAGATATAATTTCTAACCATCTCAGACACTAAGGGCATTATTTGAAAAATAAGTACTTATGTTGCTGCTACAAAATGCAGAAAGGCTGTTCAAATAAATTTATGAAGAGCTGCATTTGTAATTCTTGCTTCTATTATCTCTTTATTATGCTGTATCACTTCGAAGCCTCAGTCAAGTTCAGGGTCTGACTGTGCTAACCAATATAGAAAAATAAAGAAGACCTGTCCATCAGCTATTTAGTTTTGTGTCACCTCTTGTAGATTAAGCTATCTAAATGTTTGGGGGGGACTTCGAAATACGTGGTTTTATAATTGTAATAAGAAAAAATATATATGCTCCATTTTTTCCAAGGCCTTATGTCCATTAATTGCTCATTATTCCTTACAATAGCACTGGTCAAATTTTGATGTCTCACTTGTGTGAAAAACTGCGGTCAAGATTTTTTATTGATGTAGGTTGTAGCCATGTTGGTCTAAGGACATAGGCAGGCCAGGTTCCTTGGGTAAATCCAAAATCTTTTATTAGACCAACTCAAATAGTTGGAAAAATTCTTCTTAGCAAGCTTTTGGGCACAAACACCCTTCATCAGACTGAGGAAGCATCTGCAGACAGTCTGTGTTCTTCTTGGATGGAGTGGTAAAGCAGCCAGAGGCCAGTATGTATGCAAGAAAGCCAGTCAGTTAAAATGTAAATTGAGGTGGTCAATATGTGAGAGACAGGGTGGTGAGGGATGGAAGTGTCTGTAGTCAAAGGATGAGAGAGACAGGGGGAGGGGGGGCGAGAATGAGCATAGCTGGTAGAAAGTAGAGGGTTTACTTGGGGAATCCAGATTTTTTATGGTATTTTATAAGCCTTATATGTTTCCCCGCTACCTCTCCCCTCCCAACTCCCATGAAATCAGTTTCTGTCATTTGAAGTCAAAGCAGAATTAATTGTAGGATTTTTACCTTAGGGGTTTTAATTTATAGGATTTTTACCTTCTGTTTATTTCCAATCTATGCTTTTTAAAATGTGTGTTCATAGGTATGGGTTGTTTTTGGAGGGGGGGGGGGGGGGAAGGGTTGGTTCTCTATTTTTTAATACCATTTAACTTTTTAAAAGTTAAAGAATTTTCAAGAGAATCAAGTAAATAGTGCGTCAAATCATCCAAGATTCACCAACTGAAGAGAAATTTCTTTGTCATCTTATTCTTCTAAAATTAATGGGGTTTTTTCCCTATTACAGTGGGCTCCTTTTGTGCTTGCACAAGCTCAAACAACAATACTTACTGGTGTTTGCGAACAGTTAATGAAACCCACAATTTTCTCTTCTGTGAGTTTGCAACTGGATTCTTGGAATATTTTGATATGAACACCGATCCTTACCAGGTAAATCTGTTTCCATGTTACCAACTTTTCAGCACTAGCCTTCTGTATCTTTGCACTCCAGTTAACAAATACTTTCTTTTTCCATCGTTCTGCTTCCTCTGCCCAGCTGACAAATACAGTACATACTGTGGAAAGAGGCATTTTGAATCAGTTACATGTACAGCTAATGGAACTGAGAAGTTGTCAAGGTTACAAGCAGTGCAGTCCACGACCTAAAGGACTTGAATCAGGTAAAAAAGAAGAAAGAAAGAACAGATCAGTTATATTTTAGAGCTATGTTTGTTTCCTTAATTAATAAGTGGATCCATTAAGTCTTTCTTCATGAAATCCTTGCACATCTACTAATATTGCATACAAAGGTATGAGAACACACTATCCAGAATAGTTTCATGGCTATAAAAAATCATTAAGGCTTGATTGTAAGTTTCTAAAGGTTACTATGGATAGGCAATACAAAGTATTGAGAAGAAAGATTATCTTGGCATTACTCTAAACAATAATAGATGTTCAGGCAGACCTTGCTTATTAATATTCATGGCCATTTTGTAGGACATTAATCCATTCTCTCTTACAAGATTAAGTATGTTTAGTAATTTGCTTTCTTATAGTATCCCTGCTGGGCAGAGAGCATATGAAGTGTTAAAGCTATTTTATGTTCACGTTCCTGTCTGTCTGCGTGATCAACTACAACTTCTACATTGCAACTAAAAACTTAGTTGCAGAACTCTAATCAGTACATCCCCTCACTTTTTAAGGAGAGTAAGATCTAAACCACCCTTTACAAATATTTCTGAATAAAATAATGAGCTATCTTTATATATTGATAATTTAGAATTAATTTTGGTTGACTAAAAAATTACGCTTTTTGCAGGAATATTCCCTTCTTCATATTTTACACAATCGCTTCTTTATTTTTTATTTTTTTTTCTATGAAACATTGTCTTCATTTATAATTTATAATTGGGGATTTTGTTTTTTGAAAATCACCCATTTTTCAGTTCTATATCCAAAGCTTTCAGGAACCCTTTGTTGGACTGCAGTTCTGTCTGTATTTAACACGGTACATTTCTTTTTAGGAATTAGATGCTGTGCATGGAAAACTACATTGTGAGTGGTTTTACAAGTTCTAAACACTAACAAAAGTTACTCTTGTATTTTCCTATATCAGGAAATAAAGATGGAGGAAGCTATGATCCACACAGGTATCCATACTTTTTTATTCTCCTCAGCAGCTTCTTTCCAAATAATTGCATGATCCAGTCCATTTTGACTAATGTCTGTATCCTGCCATGTTGCACACAGCATAGAGCTTTTGGTGCATGCATTTTCTAATAATAGTCTACAATGAACTTGGCCATTGGTTTTTAGCGCTGCCATTCTGCATTTAACTTTGCTCATTGTCACAACAAGACTTCATGAAGCTCATTTAAATTATTCCATGCCTGTGTTTCTTAAATGCTCACCTTATATTGGGACAATACAATAAAATATGCAGTAAAAGCGTACACTTTTTTGTTTAGGAAGACTACTTTTTACATGTGAAACCAGTGTCATTAAATATGCTGTTTGGGTTGTATGTACTCTAAGCGACAAATTAAGCATTCACTGAGGTCAGTTGGAATCTTTCCCCTGACTTTAGTTACCATTGCAGAAGGTCTCCAGCACTTGAACTGGGTTTAGGGTTACGTTTACAGTACCTACATCCATAGGGAAAACAGGGTCAGAAAAACAGTTTTCCTAAGGGACATAGGCACTAAGAAAGGTGGTGTTATAGCATCAGTCTATACTCAGTTCTTCTCCCGCTTTACATTAATTTTATGCCTTTGTAGCCCCGTTTACTTTTCTTGGTGTTACTTTTGATATACACCAAGACTGCCCAATTAGTAGTTCATGGGCTGCATGCAGCCCACAAGAAGTTAAATCATGGCTCACAGGGCCAAAAATTTTGCAGTGGGGGACAAGCAGCAACAGCATAAATCGCCACAGCTGCCAGAACTGTCATGTCCATGGGGCCAGCACCCAAGGGGTTAATGCCACTACTGCCCATTACAGATGCATTTATGCCCCGTATACATTAATGCCCCATTACAGATGTATGTTGAGCTTCCCCACTGGAGATACCTTTCAGTGGTGACATTAACCTCATGGGTGCTGGTTGCCCTGCTGCCAAATTTCTGGGTCAAGATGCCTTTCAGCAGTAGGGCTAGCAGTAGCAGCACTATCAGCATGCAGGGCTTAATGCTTCTGCCTCTTGCCTTCCCAGCAGAGTTAAATCATCTAGCCTGTGAGACGCCCCACAGTCCAGATCTGGCCTGTCACCTGAAATATATCACCTAAAATAAGCTATATAGCCCTGATTTATATCGAATTCAGGGTGGGGGAGAAAATCAGGCTCCTACAGGACACAGATGTATTAATGATCTATTTTACAGTGGAAACAAAAGAGGGCCTTATTGTTCTCTCTCTGTATCAAAAGTAGTTGGGTAATAATTAAAATATATTGTATTGCTTTGTAAATCTCCTACAAAGCCAATTTTATATTTTTCCCAAAGTTGTAGTTCCATGATTGAAAGAGAAAAGAACGTAAGAAGTGCCATCTTAGGTCAGACCACTGTTCTGTCTAGCCCAGTATTCTGTCTCCCACATTGGCATAAATGGATGCTATAGAGGGAGAGCACTAAACTGCATAACTCTAGAATGATCTATCCCATATTCAGTACTCTCTCTGGCACCTACCATTGTTCATTGTTGTTTTAGAGAAGCCAGAGGAAACATCTCAAACTATTCTGTCCAGTAGCCATTAATAGATCTATCATCCAAGAATTTATCTAGTCCCTTTTTAGACTTGGCTATACTGTCTGCCTCCACTACCTCCTGTGGCAATGAACTGTCCTGTGAAACCTTTAGTTATTTCATAATTGTTTGCATTTCTGATTAAAGCCGAGTAGGAGCTAGTTATTGGCTAGGAAGGTAAAATAAGATTCTTGGTTTTGGTATGCTTTAAATTAGCCTTTTAAGTGTTTTATATGTTGATTTTCTTCCAAACATTTCTTGTTACTGCTCTTAACAACATCTAACAGAAATGGCATTTTTTATTGTAGGATTGTATGACATTATATGGAACAAACATCATTAAAATATATCTCATCACAGAGTTTAATGAAAAAAATAATTTTAATCACTGATCGTGAGACATTTAAATATTATTTTATTGTTAAATATAATGGTATAGTATAACTAAAACAATGCTACTCAGTGCAGTAGAACTGAGGTTTCTCAACTACTTTTGGGACCTGAAGTTCCCCAAAGTTCAAGTGTGTTTGAGTTCAAAGTTTTGGTTCACACTTCTCCCTATGAAAATGTGACATTTGTCAAAGAAACTGTAATTATGTCTTAGTAAACTTTGAAAGAAACATCGAAGAGGAACTGATCATATATTTACCAGATCTTCACAGGAATTAAGCAGGTTAAAAAAGAGGTAGCTCCATGCTGCTTGTGGAGCTTGCGGCCCTCTCTCCGCTTAGTCTATCGGGGTGTTGCCCCTCCCCTCAACTTTCCTGCCACGACTTGGATGTTAAATGCACTCTAAGAGGGGTCTACAGTGGAGATCCTTGCTTGGATGGGCTTCCCAATAGACGGTGGTACTCACGGTCGTCTGACGTGATGTTCCACGGGGCTCTGCCTTCCCTACCCCCCGTCCACACGCCAGCCAATGGGTGATGCGTTAGAGATGTTTTCCTGGCCCTGTATGACGGCGTCAGACCATTTCCCCAGGTTCCAGTCACTCTCCCTCCCTTCGTGGGGGAGATTTCTTTTCTTATAGAAAATATTCCTCTGAGTCAGGAGGAGCTGTAGGGGTATCCCCCTTATTCCACCTCCCTCTCAGATTCTCAGCTGCCTCCTCTCTTCTACTGCAAGCAGGGAGCTCCCTTGCCTCCTGGGTGTAAGCCTCTTCAGGTGGCTGAAAGGGTGCTCCTGCTTGACCTGCTTGTCTGCCTCCTGCTCTGCCTCCCGCAGAAGGCTTAAAGCCCTTCCCTGGGCTGCCTGCTGGAGCCTCATAGGCTGGGTTGCTTCCTCCCCGTGCCGGAGCTCGCCTCACGAGCTGCCAGCCTGTGCTCTCTCTCTCCGGCTCTCACCCGTCCCCACTCTGAAGGGGTTTTTAAATCTTCCCGCAGCGGCCGATACGGCCACTGGGATTGGCTCAGCTGTTCCCCCCCCCGGAAACAGCTGATGCCACAGCCGGCGTAATGCCGGTTCGTGTGGCTACAACCGTGAATGCAGGTCCTGCTCCCGCTGCTCTCCAGGAGGTACGTACGCCCCTCTGGGGGCTTGCGTTTGGGGTCTGGGGTCCGCGGGCTCTTTACTCTCTCCCTCAAGAGCCTGTGGGGACACCTCACCGCCACACTGCTAAGTCACTTAAAATAGTCCTTAGACTTATAAAGTCCTGTTTAATAGTCCAGCTTGGATGTGTTGGTGTTTTAAAAATTCTTTAGTTTATAATTCAGTACAGAACTAAATGTGCTTATTTTCATCCAGTACAACCTGCACTGGGGCTGTAGGCTTCTGTGTCAGTTAAGTTTATTTAACACTTGTGGAAAGAATGAAGAATAAAGGTCAATTTCTAGCTGTGGATGTGCTCAGGAAGCACCCTTAGGGGATCTTCATATCATATGCCCAATGGAAGGGCAGAACTTCACTAGATAAGTATCTTCTCAATTAGCATGAGCTGCCTAAGGAACTCTGATGTACATTTTTCTTTCTTCTTAAGGGAGAAAGGGTTCCAGATCCTTAAGGAAACTTTGAGAAAACTGAGCTACAGATTGTCATGGGACTTTCACGGTATAATGCTAAATGCAGAGAAGCTCAAGTAATGTGCGAGTAAAGCATCCAAAGTTGTGTGTGCTTGTTTGTGAAGCTTTGGCAGCCAGTTTTCTACATTGGGTCCAGTATGGATCTGATAATTGTGAGAAATTCTGAGAAAGAAACACCTCTATGTTATACAAATTGTCAGTGCTTACCTTCCTCATGCTTATGTAAGGTTTTTTTTTATTCCAAGGGAAACATTTTTCTTTCTTTTCCCTCTTCACTTTATTTTCTTCATATAAAACCAAGCTTGTTCAGTTGTGAAATTGAGTTGGGTTGTGAAATAACTAATTCAACCAATCACTTGATAATCAGTTCTGGGAAACTAGCATTGTTTACTCATTTTTAAACTTGTATGGAAGCTTCTTTGTATTTATATTAAAAAACAAAACAAAACAAATCCTTCCTGGATCACATTAAAACGATAAATTCAGAATCCATCATGGCCCTGAAATGAGACTTCGTTGGGAATGTGGAATATCATATCAGTTTATTTCTCTATATATTGCTCAGAACAGAAGATGGTTTGGAGGTTAAATCACTGATAAAATTACAGATATGCTGCTTGAATTGCATAGAAAAAATGTAAATATTGTATCGTCCGTACTTCATTTGATACATGGGAGAGTTATATGAGTAATATTCATTAATGATACCTCCCTTCTATTACCCTCACTAGGCCCCTCTCCCCTAAAAAAAAATCTTTTTAAATACCCAAAAACATCATCAGAATGTTACTGGGAAAATAGACCTCTCTGGGTGACATTTCTAGACATACATGATGTTGGTGAGTGTTTTGCCACTGGGTTTTTCTTATCCTTTTTCACAAAATTCCAAGAAGGACACATGTAACTGATGGGCCGGTATTCTTATAAGCTTGCCATGTAATAAATTAGCAAAAACTAAGTGAACCCAAACTACAACAAACAGAGGTAGTGCTGGTGTAGGCTCTGTAGCTGGATAAACAGAGTTTAAGGTTGACCATGTGGTCTGTGACACTGTAAGAAGTATCCAAAAAGCTGATGTTTGGATTGCACCAGGACTTGCATTCAAAGACCTGTCCACTGGGTGGGAAAACCCCCAGCTACAGGCAGCGCTGGTGGTAACTCCCGTGCCATGTAATCCAACAAGCCATACATGATGTCCCCTACACAATAGAAGATAACTATAACAGGTGAGGACAGGAGGGACCAGAAAAAGAGATGGAGACACACCCAAATGGTAGGTGTAAGGGAGAGTTCCTCTCCCAGGTTGGGAGGAGGTATGGTAAAGATAGAACCACAGGATCAGGTGTGAGGTTGCTTGAAGGGGATGGGCGTAAATGAAGGGGATGTTTTGAGGAAACCCCCTTTCCTAGGTGGAAGGTTCATGGCAGTCCCTGAGAAATGTCAGGGTCAGCAGTTGGTCCTAGCTGTTCTGTTGGCCCCAGCTGTTTGGGGGTCATTTGATTAAGGCAGTGGAGCCCACCATTCTAGTTCTGTGGGCTGGATGAGTGATGTAGGCCCAGTCTGCAAGCCAGATCCCACACAGGGTTGGCCTGTGGGTGCAATCTAGCATGCTAGTCTAACCCTACATCCCTAGATCTGGCCATGCACTGGCCCAACCTCATTCGCCTGGATCCAGCCATTCACTGACATGATCTGGCATGCAGAGTCACATTATCTGGCTCACAGGCCTGCTCTCCACAGATCTGGAAAGTTGGCAGGAGAAAAGCAGCAATTAATGCTGTCACTGCACTTCCACAAAGCTTCCAGGCCTGCAAGAGCCCTGTGCACTGGATGACATGGCTACCCAGGCCAGATCTTGCCCACAAGCTGAGGGGTGAGCACCCCTGGGTTAAACTATATAGGGAGAGAGAAAAGACTGAGTTACAAAGTTGGTATCAGTGGATGGTTTTTTTGAAAAGTTGCTTGTGCTTTAGGGATGAAATTCATTCTTAGCACAAAGTCCAGTTTCTGGAGTTTTGTCTGAATCATTTTATAGGAAACAAGGGGAATATACTTCCCTGTGCTGGTGGGAATAGTGGCTACTGCCACACTGTTATGTTGGTATGGGGTATTCCAATTAGCAAAGAACCAGAGTATGACCTATAAGACTCCCTGACTTATCAAGTATACTTAAGAGCTTCAGACTGCAATTACCTGAAGGAAACAAAGCAAAATAATTAAAATACAGAGAAACATTCTGTGTACTTGGCCACAAAATAATTAAAATTTATGTCATAACTTTCCTAAAAACATTAATTCACCGGGCTGTTTTTCCTGTTGAAATCTTATTTTTCCCACAGTAAAGATGGTAACTATCATGATGTACTCTGAACTATTCACTGCCATAAAACTTTTGGATGTTTTTGTGTAACTCTTCATTCCTCTACATAGGATTTAATGGAAAAGCATTGCAGTTTTTCCTTAACAAAATACTTCTTTAATTAATTTGATAGCAATTCTGCCCACAATAAGGGAAGGGACAGATAAAGACCTCTCTATACCCTTCAAGCAGTGCAAAGAGAAGAGAAACCACCTGGAAATCCCCTCACCCTAACCCTAACTCCTGCCCGACCTTAGATTGAAGCTGAAATGTGGTTCCTCTGTTCCCAAAGAGGATCGGTGCAAACATTTTAGAATGGGAGTAAAGTACAAGGATTTCTAACTTACTAGAACACCCAATATATTTCCTTCTAAGAATGAAACATGCCCACTCATTGCAGATTTCAACTTCTGGCCCTCATTGATTGTAACATAGCAGGAAAATGTGTTCAGTATCAGTAGTTCCTGTGTTAAAAATGGAGCTGTACTATTACGCATTTGAGATAAATTTCTTGAATTAACATTGACAACCAGTGGTCTTTGTTATGAAACAAGCTTTAAACTACCTTCACAATGTTAGCTATTTTAGAGTGAGTAAATATTCTAGGGACTTTGATCACATCTGGAACCTTTCAGAGATTTCCTTAAGGTTTTTCTTTTTTTTCTGAATGTGCTAATATAAAATCCATCTGAATTACACTCATATGTATGCTTCTCATTCAGGCAAGCTTTTCATGGGTGTCAGTGCTATCCTGTACCCTCATATTACTGGATAAATCAGTTTTGTATCCTGTAAATTAAAAAAAGAGAATATGCAATACTCCCAACCCATCCTCAGACTAAGGAGTTGTGGTTCTGAAGTTGAACATTGAGTTCTTTTTCCTAAATTGATCTATTGATTGATAACTGCCTAGATAAAACTAAGGTCCTATAACTAAATTAGTCCTGAGGGGTTATTTTTATGAAGCTGTTTCATCTGTGAACTCCTATAAGCAGAAGTGTGCATTTACATAATAGTAGTAGTAGTAGTAGTAGTAATACAATACAAAATCTTCTCTAATAGTAGTAGTAGTAGTAGTAGTAATACAATACCACATCTTCTCTACCAGCCACTGCTTTAAAAAAAACAACCCTTGAGATAGCTGAAGAATGCAGACAGCCTAAAGACCAGGTCATGCAGTGGATCCCACTGGCTTCACGGGAGGACTGCTCACTGGAAGCTTGCAGAATTGGGCTTACATATATCTGTTTGTTTCCTCCATAGTGCTGTGAGAATAATTGTGTAAAATAATGTGTGACAATTGTGAAAAGCTAATTGGTTGTTTATTAGAACAATTTTTGTCTGTATTTGTAATGTCAGGACTGCAGGCACATCATTCTGTTTTGGTCTGAGTGTTCTTGTTACACCCATGCAATTCCATTGACTTGACTCTGGTTATGTAGGAATAGAGAAGGCAGAATTTGTATGTTCAGCTCAGCAGGAGTCATGTACGTGTCTACCAGTATTTGGCCTTTCTATGTGAATTACTAAGATGTGAAAAGCATGGCGAGTATTACCCAATAACTATGTACATTGTTAATGGCTAGTGCATTTCAGCACACTTGAACGGCAAGGAAAGGCATGTGGAAGCTCCATGCTTTCCTTATTTGGTGATCACCATTAGACTTTGTTTATTTCTTTTAACAGAGGAGAATTATGGGATGGATGGGAAGGTTAACCTGCCAAATTTCACTGAGGACGTCAACTGGCAAGGACTGGAAGATTTGTACAGTGTGAATGAAAGTTTATATGAATACAGATACAACTATAGACTTAGTCTGGAGGACTGGACTAATTACTTGAAGGATATAGATAGAATGTTTGCACTGCTGAACAGTTATGATGAGCAAAATAAAACAGACAAGAATAAAACCACTCAAAACAGTGGTTACCTGGACAAGTCGCCTACACAATGTACCTTGCTGGAAATGACCTCTGCTGAGTCAGACGAGGAATCAAGTGGTCTGACTGCAGAAGAATTACGGCCTGTTGTGCTAACTGACTTTGAAGCCCTATCTTTGAGCGCAGTCATTTTAAGTCAAGAGAGGAAACTTGAATTAAATAATGACATCCCTGACACAAGTCGTTTGAACGCAACACACTGGAGAAATAATCAAGCTGAAAAATGGATGGAAGGTAAAGAGTCAGACAATTTTGAAATAGATTACAGTGGAAATGATCTGATGGAGCTGGAGTCCAGACATAGTTTCATTTTACAGCCCATTAGCATGCTTCAGAAAGACTCACCTGAGGATGGCGGTGGCCCTGTGGAAGACATTTTTGAAGATCAGATCTATTTTCCTGTGAGGTCTGGGGAAGCCATTGTACACCAGGCTATAAGTGTATCCATCAGGGATCCCTCTATCAGGTCTCAGAAAATGGAAACTACATTGGAAAATATAGAACCTAATTTTTCAGGGGAGACATCGCAAATCGTAAATGTAGAAGGCAGTGCCTCATCTGCACTCTCCCTAGATTAGATCAAATTATGAACCATATGAAGTTCTCTTGATTTTTTTTTTAAATGGCAAATTAATAAAGGTAATCATGACAACTGACATTCCATGTTTATTGTAGATACATTTTGCAGTTAAAGTGAGCCCAACTCTGTGTGTGTGTGTGTGTGTGTGTGTGTGTGTGTGTGTGCACGAGTGCCTCTGTGTGTGTGCGTGTGTATTTCATATATACATACACACATGCACTTTCACACTAGCTTTTCAAAACTGGGAAAATAGATTTCCACAGTGTTAAAAAAGACAGTATTAAGTTTATAGTGCAGTGATGCATAAATTTTGTAAGCTAACCATGATTTTCTTAAAACAAGATTGTTGAATCATGTCTTTCTTTCTGAAACATCCCACCATAAACGATTGTCTCACTTCACTCAAACTGTCTGCATAATGTGTTTTTGATAAATTATTTTTAACCACTGGAATTTCTTAATGTCACACTTTTGAGTAAAATGATATTGCACTTTTATAATCTGTATGCCATACCATTTATTAATCTGATACTTTACATGTTCTTAATTAGTTTATTGTCTGGTGTAATTGTGAAATGCTAGGTTACCAGGAAAAAGTTATTCAGTGTGGATTGTGAAAACAAATTGAATATTATTTTAACAGAAAATATTGCATGTTTTGTTACTTTGATTTACTGAAATTTACTCTCAGAAACGTATGGCTAATGAATGTTTTGAGTAGGAGGATTTATTTTCAACTTGGCTTATTTTCCCCTATGTTGGTATCATCAGTGTTGAAAATTTCTGAATGTTCTAATTTTTTTTTGCTGATTTCTTCAAGGTTTACATGAGTAGAATATGTTTTTCATCCTATTAGATTTATTAGTCTGCACAATATCTTTTTTCTGAAAATATTATCTTTTTAAATTTTTTTTAAACAGGCATTAAAGGGAAGTGTAAAATCATATTAGATTGATATATTTTGATACAAAAGGCACATGGGGTCAGAACAGTAGTCTGGAGTCTGTTGTTCTTGTAATGTGTTATAAAGCTTTTTTGGATTTTACCAAACATTTAATTTTAGAAAATATATTTCAGAATTGACTTTAAAAATGAGTTACTGTTGAAAACTTAACATCCTCTTAGGTTTTTTTTTTTACATTATTAGCAAAAAATAAAAATAAAAAAGGATTACCTCACACGCACACAATTCCACCATGTCCAATTCACAAAGAAAGTTTCTTATGTTACATGTTGTTTAGCGTAATGGGTGCTTCTTTTAGTCTATTGCAAGCATTGTGGGATAAGTTTATATTCTTTTGCTTTGTCTAAGCTGACCTTTTTAAAATTCTTTTAGTAGGATTTTAATAATTTTAAAAAGCAACCTTTATGATGGACTCTGTAAATATGTTAATTGACTAGCTGTTTATCTGTTGTATGTGTCATGGGCTGAATGACAGAACAAACGTATTTATGGTCATGAATGATGCTATTTGTAAATAGAATTCAAGTTACTAGGACACAAACTGTCTTTTTAAATCTTGTATATTTCTGTGATACTTTTATAGAACAATTCTGACTTCAGGAAAGTCTAGAAGCAATATTTCTTGAAATAAAAAGTGTTTTACTTTACCTGCTTCAGAGAGAGAAACATCATCCAGTTTTTATAGTAAATTTAAATGTTATAATTTTAGCTTAATTTTGTTTATTGTTTTATTCGAATCACAATTAGACAATTGGTAATAAACCTATATAATACTTTGCATAAGGAAACTGCTACTTAAAACCATTCCTCATGGTTATGAATAATGTATTCCTTGATTAGTAAATATTGCAAATAATGTAGTTCCCAATCCATCAAACCATTATTTCCATTGTAAGCAAATGAAGCAACCTGCGTGCTTAATCCACTGTCCTGAGCTCAAGGGGATAACCATCTATTCCCTTTCTATGGATAAATGGACTGGGACCTTTAAAGCAGAGTTGCAAGCAGAGGATGTGGGGCTGATATTCCTGCTCCTAGCCCAGTCTTTACAGCACTTGCTCATGAAGTACGGTAGGATTGTTTTCCCTCTTGAGTCAAACCCACAATTCTTGCCTCCCAGAAGAGCACCTTACATATGGGCTATAGGCTGGGTATGGGGAAATCTACACTCGTATTGCAGCTAGGACTCTCTTCAGAAAAGAAAGCTGTGTAAGTAGGCTCATCTTTCAGAGCTTGGGTTGAGTCCCAGGCTTGAGATCCTGCTGTTTTGACTGGTGGAGCCCATCCACCAATCAGGAGGCAGCAGGAGAAATAAAGCAGAAGAGCTCCCCTGGACCTGATTGAAGATGTAAACTGTCTGGTCCAGAAGACTTCAGGGGTGAGCCTGCTACAGATGTATTAAATTGAACCAGAAAGAATGCACAGTAGAAACAACTATGTAGCCTA